AACCTGCTGTGCCCCTCTGGCAAGATGTTGTGCTTCTGGATTAGCTATGTGGTTCTGGCCCCTAGTCTCTCTGCAGGGACTTCAGCAGCAATTTTTCACTGCATGCCTGTATGCCAGGCCTGGGCTGGTCTGGAGTGGTTCAGAGAGCAGGACAGAAGGACTCAGTCACAAATGGGCCTGGGCTAGGTCGCAAGTCAACCAGCAGGCAAAAGGGAGTGTGGAAGCTCTCCCACACTCTCGGGACCTGGGTTTGGGCTGGGTCTGGAGGGGTCTTGAGAGTGCAGTGGAAGTTTTCACTCACAGGACAGGCCTGGGCTGGGTCCATAGGGGTCCAGCACAGGGTAGCATGAAAGCTCTCCCACACACCCGCCGAGTCTGCCCTTGGACTGGGTCTGGAGGGGTCCAGAGAGCATGGAGGTAATTTTCACTCACAGGCTGCTCCTGGGCTGGGTCTGAAGGAATTAGCAGGCACAGGGGAGTGCAGAAGCTCTCACACACACTGCAAAAAATAATTTTTTTTCTTAAAAAGGAAATTTATTTCTTTAAAATCTCTTTCAAAGCATGTACACATTGCCAGCTAGCCACATCACCGTAATACTTGAGGAAATAAGTACCATCCTTGGTTCTCATGCATGGGAAATTTAGATATTGAAATTTGGGGCAAGGCAGAAAATAATGTAAAGAGAGCTCATGGCAGAGAAAAATTGTTTCTCCTGAGACCTTCTCAGCTTGGAGCTGATAAAAATCTCTTTTATGTCCATTAAGTACTACTAGTGTCCCCAAAGTTTCTGATTTACAACTGGACAAGACAGAGACCAAAAAGAAGAAAAGGAAGAGAAAGCAGAAGAGGAAGAGGAAAAAGAAGAAGATGAAGAAGAAGAAGAAGAAGAAGAAGAAGAAGAAGAAGAAGAAGAAGAAGAAGAAGAAGAAGAACAACAACAACAACAACAACAACAACAACAACAACAACAGAACAAGAACAAGAAGAACTGGCCCACAAAGGCAGGGTGAAGAAGCCTTGGACAGATATTATATCAATTTATAATTTGTGGTCTCCAAAAAGAAACCTCAGAAGAAACCAAATCTTTCAGCACCAGAATCATGGACTCTGAGATTCCACAACTATAAGAAATAAATATCTCTTCCGTAATTTACTCATTCTCTGGTAGTTCATTGTGGTAGCCATACAAGACTAATATACCTGGCTAGTATTTTTATTTTAGGGATCTAAAGATTATGAGGTTTGTCATGGTGAAAATTCATGTTCATAAATGTTACATATGTTACATATCCACAGGGGATGGAAAGCCACTGAAAGTTGTCCTGGCATTTTCTCTACTATTGCAAAGCCTTAGCAGATTATAAATAGACGCTTCCACCCTCTGAACTGTCACCTGTTAGAGAATGACTTCCTACAACTCAATGCCTAGTGATTATCCTATTGTCCTCCCAGGATCCTCTCCTCATCAGATGCCCTTCCCTATGTCTCTTACTTGGCTTCTCTTTCCTTTTATGTTTCTCTCTACTCATAAACTAATGAGTTGTAAAAAGCTGAATAATGGCCCCCAAAGTATCCATGTTCGAGTCCCCAAAACCTATGAAATGTTTCCATACCTGAGAAAAATTACTTTATAGATGTGATTAAATCAAGCATCTTAAAATGGGGAGATTATCAGAGTAAGTCCGGTATAGTCACCAGCACCCTCATAAAAGGGAAACAGGACCAAAGGCAGGTTGAAAGACAGAATACAAAGGGAAACAGTGGTGTGAAACTCAGAAACACAGAAAGAGAAAGAAGATTCTATGGAGCTGGCCTTGAAGATGGAAGAAGAGGCCAAGAGGACCAAGAAATCTATGTGACCCCTGGAGACAGTAAAGCAGCAGGTTTCCACTAGATCCTCCAGGAGAAGCCCAGTCTAATCCACTTTAGACTTCTGACCTCCAGATTTATAAAATCATACATTTTTGTTGGTTTAAAGCACTAAATTTGTGTAGTTTGGTATAGAAGTAACAAAAAACTAATACCCTGGCTCTTTGGGAAGCAAGATTGAGTATTTTAATCAGTTCTGCACCTACAGTTTGTGAAACATGCATATATATAAATAACCTTCTATTTTCATAAGATTTTTACTGCCAGTAATTAGAAAGCTACATATAAAATTTTATTATTTTTTTCAAGTATGAAGAGGGGAAAATGAATTCTAGGGGAGCTTAGCATGTGTTTCGGGCCATTCTTGGCTGCTACAACAATGCCTGAGACTAGATAATTTATAATGAATATCTGATCTTATTGGTGGTCACAAAGGTCAAGATCAGGAGATCTAATCTAGATAGAGCCTTCTTTCAGTCTCATAACACAGCAGAGGCATCACCTAATGAGACAATAAGAGCAGACTCAACTCTTTTTTTTTTTTTTTTTTTTTTTTGCGGAACCAGAGATTGAACTCAGGCCCTTGCACTTGCCACGGAAGCACTTAGTCCACTGAGCCATCTCTCCGGTCCCTCTTTTTTTTTTTTTTTTAAACAACAACCCAACTCTCATTTTCCTGAGCCCATTCTGGAAGTACTGATATTTACTCATTTGTCAGGGCACAGCCCTCAAGAGCTAATCACCTCTACCTCTTACACTGTTGTGTTAGAGGTTAGGTCTCCAACATACAAACCTTTCTTGACTCCCCTCTGCACTATCCCTTGCTGTCTCCTCACTAATCGCTTCCAAGCATAGTCTTATTTCAACTTCTTTGAGCTGGCTTCTTCTCCCCATCCTTAAGACGTTTTACCCCAGTGAGGAGTAATGAAGTTACTCCTCAAAAGACTTTGGTCAAATGTCACCTTCTAAGTGAGGCCTACACTGATATTTCAAATTGCAATACGCTTCCAACATTCACAATCTCTTCATTTTTACTACTTTCTCACATAACATAAAATTTGCTTATTATCATTATTTTCTCTCCACTAGAATGTAGGTTATACTAAAGCAAAATATTTGTCTAAGTTACTTCTGGGTGAATCTTAACCCATAGAGCAGCCTCACTGAGCATATACACATAAATATCTGTTGAATAAAACATTTAATTCCTTAATTGTTGACCACTTGGAAAGACTCATTATATTAGAGGAACTATTCTTATTCAGATGATCCCTAGGCCTAAAGCCCAGAAACTACAGCTCTATACTAACCATCTCCATCTTTGAAAAAAATTCACTAGTACATGTTTTCCATACATGACTACTTTCACTGTAGGTATTTGGTACATGCACATAACACATCTTAATTCTTTTCCGGACCCCCACTCCCTTTCCTTATTCCTTCCATCTGCTAATCCCTTTCTCAATTGCAAAAGGTCTATCTCTCTGTTTCCTTTACCCATTTTTTATTTTGCTCTTTTCTTTAAAAAAAAAATCTGACTGTGAACCCAGTATGGCTGTCTATACCCTTCTGAGGATTTAGCATGCTAGAGCACCTGCTGTGAACTGCAAGTATTGCCTTTTTAGGTTTCTGACATTCATAACCTGGACAACTCATTGATGCCTCTGGTCCCTAACCCTATGTTGTTCATGAAAGCCTGGATGCCATGCCATCTTTTGATCAAGATTCTCCTTTCACTAACCCCACCTATTATCTTAATCTGGATAGATCAGGTTCAGATGAAGTATGGGCTCCTTTCCAAGAAAAAGCATCTGATTACTGACTAGGATAGTCTTAGTAGACCCTTATTTAACCTAGAATTGAGCTAGCCTTTTCTTTTCTGTTGCAGCTCACTGTATTCAGCTATGATTTTACCCAGCTGTCCTAATGGGTAATCTGGTCTTCTGTAGGTGTACCCCTGTTTTCCTGAAGTCAAAGAAAAGCCCGTTGTTAAGCATATTTGGAACTTCTGACCATGTGTTTGTGAATACAGGAGTTAGCCTTTCATTTCTGGGTGAAAATGCCAGGTATACACATTCAGTGAGCAACAATTTATTTGGGCTCATACTTTCAGAAATTTCAGTGCATGGTCAATAGCATGTGGAGGCATGTCAGAGGAGAGCTGCCTACCTCATGGAGGCCAGAAAGCAGAGGGGGTTGGAAAGCGCCAAAAAAAGAGGACAGGGACTGAATCTACTCTTCTAATGCATAGCCCCAGTGACCTACTTCCTCCAACTGTGCCCTAACACCTACTAGCACATTCATCCTCAATGGATTAGTCTACTCATGAAGTTCTTGCCCTCAATAAATGAGTCTTTGAGGGGTACTTCATATTTATGCCAGAGGTATGATAGACAGTCTTCTTATGTGTAGAAGTAACAGATACTCCCATAATGCACTTTAGTAGCATCCATTCTCCTGAAATATGTTTCTAGTGAGGAAAGTCTGGTTTGATTACTTGTCTCTGGGGCTTTTCAGAATCTTTCTTTGCTGTCTCACCATGTCCCAAGGGTGTATGTACACAGCAGAGCATTCTGCTCCCCTATACAGCTGTTTTGTTCCATTCAGCCCTGCCCCAAAGTTGGACCACTGTATATCCTCTCCTGCTTTGTTGTACTTCCAGGACAACCTTGTTTTGGGGTACAGCAGTGGATTTAGCATGGACTCTGAAATTTTGTAAGCATGGGTTTTGCTTCTTATTGGCCATATGATTTGTGGAAAGTTACTTTGCTTCTATGAGCCTCCTCATTTTTGAAGCTATAATAATAGTAACTATTTTAAAGCATTGTTGTGAAATTTAAATGCAACAATATATATATAGCATGTAGAATGCACCCCTGCTTATGGTGAAAACTTAATGATTACTTTTAATATATATTTTTAAAATGTCATTTTAAGATGCCTGCAACTTGAGCTAGTTGGGCAATGGTTCTCATATGTGATTAAGATCCCTGAAAGGACATAGTATTACTCACACAGCATGAGGACTAAGACTCTCCAACTTCAACCCAATAAATCAATAATCCAATAAACCAATCAGGAAAACTGAGAGAGTAGGACATTCTACAAAACAAATGGCCAATACACTCCACAAAATACCAAAGTCATAAAAGACAAATGTATCATTTCAGGTTAAAGGATTAATTGGTGCCATGCATACCCAGGATTTTTAAAAATTGCTACAGAGGCTTTCAGTAGAATAACTGACAAAATTTGAATGTAGACTCGATGTTAAATAATACTATCTTATCAGTATTAAACTTCCTGAATTTGACAATGATATTGTGGTTGCTTAAGCAATATTTCTGTTCTAGAGAATATATGCTGAAATCTTTAGAGTGAAATGTTCTGCAGTTTGCAATTTACTCCCACATGATTCACAAACATATGTGTGCAAGCCAGAAAGAGGTTAATGTGCCAAAATATTAATAATTAAAAAGTTTATGGATTTCTGCTATTCATCCTCACAACTGTTGTGTGCATTTGGATAATTTATTTTAAAAATGAACAGTTGAAAACAAATTGATATCTAGGAAATTTATTAAAATGCAAGAAGCAGCTTTGCTCTAGATAATAGAGAAAAATTCTATACAAACTAGTCAATGTCCATGCCAGATCATGTTTCCAGAAACTCAGCAGTTTCATTATAAAAAAATTCTCAAAGTCAGTTTCTCTCTCAGAAGAATAGGGAAAGTAAACTACTTCTCTATTAGTGATTCTGATTCAAATGATCTCTCCCAGGTATTCCCCCATTAGTCCCTCTGGATCCACTGTGTACCCTACCCCTCTCTCCTCCTGAGAAGGAGGCTGGTATGTCTGAGACACTTTAAGAGTTTTCTTTTTCTGTCTTCCTTCTTGCTGGGCTCTGCCAATGGAGAATCCTGGTAAGAAATGAAGAGGAGGGGAAAAATGGAGGTCAAGGTATAAACCACAGTCTCACACTCTGGTTTGCACTGGGCTAGCTATAGCCCTTAACTGAAGGTCTTTCAACCTACGATGGCATACACTATATAACTCACAGTTGCTTACAGTAACTGTCTGGTATTTTTGGAATAAATGGTGACATCTCTGCTGTTGCTAGCCATAGACTGCTGCCCTAGCCCAGGTGGTCCCTTGCAGTTCCTCATACATTTGTGAAGTGTTCTTTTATTATACTCACCTCAAATGATGCTAACTGCATAATCAGCTTCCTTTGGGACTTGTATATTATCCTAGACCACATCTTTAGAAACACTATTATAAGATAAAATAATTATTTTTAGGAAATGAAACTGATCTGATAATTTTAGTTACTATGGTTGTAAAAAGTTAAGCTTCTGAATTAATCTAATGGTAGAACCAGATATTAGATCACTCCATACTATAAAATAACGTGAACTTGGAAATTTCCCTGGGGAAGCTCCAGACAAAATTAAGGAGAACATAGCGAGGAATTTAGAGAGGGAAGAAGGAGACTCTAAAGGACAGCGGTACAGTAACGTGGACGGATTATGGAGCTTAAGAAAGAACAAAGCCAGTGAAAAATTCCCTTTCAATGAGCCTCAGACTGATGAATTTCTAGGGACTTTTTCCCCCTAGGGACATGTTTTGAAGTTCAATTTTGACTGTTTGTATAAAATATATTATATAATATTACCTTGAGTAAAACTCTTTTAATGGCCTTGAGTTAGCAGTACATTGAGAAATGAACAGTAAGTAATTTTTTCCACCCTCAAAACTCTAGAGAAAGAGGTAAGACAGCAATAGGTAAACACAAGACAGTGAATAAATCCCAATAATCCATTTAAGTAGGGATTTGTAACAAGAGGCATCCATGAGGACTGGGGAGGTAGCAAGGTGGCAGAGCAACTACGTGACATGTGCAGGGCCCTAGTTTTAATCTCCAGCATTACAAACAAGCAAACAAAAAAGGAGGTGACTATAATATCATATTTGAACCTTTTGAATGATACAGAAGTTTAAGAAATTTTATTTTAATGTTTTAAAAAAAATTTTTTTAGTTGACTAGATGACCTGGGAATATGTGGTGTACACATTGTTATAATTACTATTAGACTGTACTCTTCTTTTATTGTACTGTGTATCTAAGCTTACTCCTCCATCTCATCCTCTAGGTAAATTATCTGCTTAGATTTACCTACTTAGGAGTAGGTTAAAATTATTCTGGCTCTTTAAAAGCCTAGTATTTTACTGTCCACCCCAAGAGACTATCTATTTGTTTTAATTTTACCATATGACTAAGAAACATGGTCCAGATCTCCATAACAGCTTGCTAAGGGTGATGAAAGCAGATTCCCATATATTAGCTATATCCTATAAATACAACTGAGATACGAGCCATAGGGTATAGTGGTGAATAAAGATACTGTTTTCAACTCTCTCTTTTTTTCTGAAATGACACCTGTCAAGATTGGTATCATTTTCCACTATATATAATGCATCATTGTTTGTGAATGCTTTCATATCATATTTTTCTTTTATCTTAAGATTTTATCAATTTGACTATTATAGATGTCTTTTCTCGGTACTAGGGATCAAACTTGGGACCTTGTACTTGCCAGGTAGGCACTTATGCTGCTGAACTATCTCCCCTATTATAGGTCTTGATGTGATTTTTTTTGGTATTTATACAGGTTTGTGGGACATTATATCTTTTAGCCCATCTGAGTTTAGTCTTTTTCTTTTAGTCCTTTTTATTTGATCATTTACATGAATTTATTTTCAAAGTCATCGACTCTTCTATTTCTAATCTATTGTTGTCAGTCCAGTAAATTTTACATTAAAATAATTTTGTTTTTCATATTCAGTTTTAATATTTGCATCATTAACATAGTTACTATTCCCCTAAGATTTCCCATTTGTTTACTTATTGTGCATGTACTTTCCTTTTTAAAAAAATAATTTTATTGAGAAAGAAGTAGCAATGAGACAGTTTAAAAGCAAGTTAGTGGGACAGTTACAATAATTGATACATTGCATATTGTTATCTTTGTAGTAGTTATTCACAGTACAAGATGCAGACGTGATATCTTGTCTAAACACTATTAGTTCAAAACTTTCTTCTCACTGAACTAAGAGAAAGTAGCTGTATATCTATGCTAACTATTTTGTATATACA